TTATCTCAGCTTGGGTCCCGTGAAGTTTGTACGATCAGTTCGGTGCGTATTGAGATGAAATTTTCTCCTCGAATGTTTGCTTTACGGTTTGTTTTGCGATATAATACGAGAACGGCACCGTCGTCCGTCGCTGTCAATCCGCTCTTACGGTTTCTTCGCACTCGCGACGCGACGCAGTCGCGACTGTCCGCTCGATACTTTCGACAAAACAATAAGGTCATGTCGTGTAATGAGGGAGGAAGATGCAGCCGAGCGTGACGACGGCGATGGCGCGGAGCAGGACGGACAAGTCGATTTTACATGATATTCATTTTGCTCGTTCTTTCCCTCTTCCCTCCCTCCCTATCCCTCCCACCTCTTTCTCTTTCTCTCTCTCTCTCTCTTTCCCCCTCTCTCTTTCCCTTTTCCTCTCTCTCTCTCTCTCTCTCACTCTTTCACGCTGTTTGCGCTCGACATGCCGCGACACTTATCCTGTCGACGTTTCCATAGATTAAATCACGGGTGTGCTCGCGATGCGCGTCGTAACGGTTCATAGGAAACGGACCTGCGCTCCACTAACTCGACTAACGATAATCCGTATATCGCGTGTAAATTTACCTGTCGCGCGCTATTGTTAGTTTTAGCCAGTTTCACGGTACTGCCACAATCCAACGGGAATTTCGTCGATTCCGGCGATTAATAAATCCGTCGTCGGCGAGCGAACGCATCCGTGGCGATGCGAACGTAACATTATTATCTTTCATTTCGACAATTTTGTCGATTCTTGCTCTTTCGAATTCAACTCTCATTTTCTGCCTAAATAGTGGCGATATATATACAAAAAATTATCAATTCAAGACTCATATTTCATATATAAGCAAGAATATATAACCTTATGTGAAGATAAAACTTTCTCTTATATGAAGAAATTCTATATATAATTTTGCTAAAGATATCGTGTATTCTTGTTATTCAAGAATAATTTATGTGAATTGAGAAGGAAGAATGTTGGATAGAAAGAACGATAAATTCAAACTAAGAATTGTATCAGTTTAAAGACATCGTTCTTTCTATTTAATATTTGGTCTCCTCAATTCATACAAATTACTCTTGAACAACAAGAATATAATATCTTTTGTGTAATTATTATAAAATTTCCTCGTATAAGAGTAAGTTTTATCTTCATGTAAGATAATATATTTTCGGTTATACGTGAGAATATGAGTCTTGAATCGGTGCTCATTTCTTCCATGCACACGATGAAAATAACATTAAAACGGAAGGGGATTTTTGCGCAGTGGCGAGTTGTATCTTATCGCGATGAGACTTGATGGGTCTCATCGAGTCGAGATGACGGGCGAATTAAAATCCGATCTCTCCCGCGGCAGAATTAAAACGTTCGCAGTCTCAAAAGTTCCTTCTCGCTTTGTTCTCGTTTAAACTATCGACAATGCCGATAATGCCGGTGCGCGAGGCGAGTATCCATTAGGGGCTTTTCTCCCCCCCTCTCTCTCTCTCTCTCTCTTTCTCTTTCGCTCTCGCTCATTAGGTCAGTCTAGATAGAAACATCTCTTCGTGGCGAGTCAGAACTCATCGCCTATTCAGTTAACGAGTCGACCGGCCGGGGGGAAACGATAAGGCCACCTGTCAATTATGATCAGCTTTCTCACGAACGTATCCACCGCGGCACTGAGACGCGTTGCCGTGCATCCATGATCTCCTTGTGAAAGGAACGATTTTCCTCGCCTCCGAGTGCGCTAGATATTCATCCGCTCGCTCATGTCGGAGACCAGCACGCCAGTCTCGCGTAACGTAACGAGCGTCGCGGCGAAACGAAGATCACGAGAGGCTGCTGTGACATTTAGCGTAGTACGTTTGGTAACTGCGAAAACACGCCGCCGCTGTAGCGAACACGATATCAGCTTGAGAATCTGATCTTTGTGTGAGAGCGCGACTAATTAATGGCCCACGCTAAAAGGAGAAAGAGAAAGATCTGTGCTCGTTGGGGCAACAGTGCTGTGAAAGAATGCATTACTTTCGAGAACGATTAAGATAGTGCGAAATTCATGCGAGCGACGCCCCCCCCCCCCACATAGAAAACTTCCTGGATTCTAATTGGGATCCAGTCGAGTTTTCTCAAAAAATTATGAATTCTGGTTGGAGAGTCTACGTAGATTTAGGTCAAAGGAGGGGCGCTTTGTAGAAGCGAATCCAAGTGGAAAATCCAAACAGAATCCATTTGCTCCCCGCGATGTTCTCCTCGAGATTCATCCTGGCGTTTCAATCTGTTCTGTAATTTTATAAAACAAAAATGTTTTTTATATTACACTTAAACTCGAAGTAAACTAAGCTGAAGCGAATATCTGTGCTGTTTTTATTACGTCAATGAAAGCTGAAATGGAAAATTGAAACTATCGTTTTTTTCAATTATTTAAAGACAATTAATAATTTCTTTCAAATTAATTTCATACAAATTGATATTCTCTCATAACTTTAGTCACGGGAATTAATATGTTTTTAACCTTAGTTTTACTCGCAATGTGTAATAATTGAGGAATATTGCGATCTACATAAATAAAACCTTTTAACTCTTTACTCCATTGAATTTAATAGTTGATATAAAAATGGGATTTCCTCTTTTATTCCATATTTTCATTCCAAAAGTACATCAATTTTGCAAACGAAAACACGGTGCGGATTTCCACGACGTTTTCATTTCGATTCTAGACAAAGAACTCACGTTTTAGACGAGAATGAGGCTTTGAGTTGTTACCGCGGTGCGATAATCCACTCTGGCGCAAATTTCGACATTCCAATTGGAATTCATGCCGCACCCGGGAGAATTTTGAGAAATCTCCACGCGGTTCGAGTTGCGTCGTGCGTCGATTATAAGAACGCAATTATAATTATATTTTATCGAGCCGATCTCTCTCTAATTGCATTTATATTATTAGGTTCACTCGACGGCGGAGATCTCGTCGGGTGAGCGTTGTCGATTTAATATCAGCCAGAGCCTCACGGACTCCAGCGAAGCTTTTTTGCCGCGGCAAAGAGGATACCTGCGGGGTGATACTTCGAGAAGATTAAAACCCTCTCTATAAGCAAAGTGCAGTTGTGCTTTCACGTTACGTCTCTTTTATGCATAAAGTGCACGGGGCACACCGCAAATAGCCTTTGGACACTGCCGGGCACGGTAACGGTGTGCCTGATTGCGAGCGATATGTTCTCAGAGATATTGCCCGGTACGAGCATCCTGGAGCGTTGTCGATGGTCACGTTTCCGCGATCCGGACATCACGCTCCCTTTCTACTCTCTCACTACTATAGCTGGAGGTTTCTTCATGCCGTTTTAGAAGTCGCACTCCGCGTTCTCGCGGAAGAACGTGTCTTCTGCGAGAGATACTAATTCGCGATTTCGGCGTAAACGTGAACACCGAGCGCCTTATCTTTCCCTACTTGCGTTGGATTGAGACATAAATAATTAGAGATAGACAATGCTTGAGACCTTTGTATATGCGATTTAATGCTGAGAACGGATCAATAACAGCCTCGAGCGTAGCGATAAAAGTGCGTAGATAACAAATGAAAAGCGATATCTCGAGGATAAACACTCGCGAAAATACGAACGTTTCGAGCAGTTTGGCTCTTTTTAAAATAACAAATACTATTATTTTGGAATAAATAAATAATTTTTTATATTAAATAAAACATAACTAAGACTCTCAGATGTTCAATCACTAAAAATTAATTTTAGCCAATAAGAGAGCGGCGCAAAAATGGTTGGTAGCAAATTTTTTTTAATTGTATATATATTTAGTTGCAGTTATTAGTTTAGCATTTAGTTTGCATATATTTTTAGCTATATCCTTAATTTTTTTTATATTGCCAATTATTCTTTCAATTTACAAAATATCATTATCTTTCCTATGTACGTATTTTGTAATATAATAAAAATAAACAAAATTAATTTTTCGTGTTAATTCAAAATTGGCTCAAATTTAGATGTTCATTTGTCCAGATGTTTCGGTCTTAAGCTACACCTTCCTCAGTGCAGTATTATAAAGTCACAAACGGTTACATTTATTAATAATTAAAGAAAGTTATATCAAAGGTTATAAAAAAATATATCAAAGTCAAATAGATACCACAAGTTTATAGTAAATCATATATATATCTTCTCGTCTTATTTTCCTGCGTCTTGTTTTTCTCCGGCGAATACGTCTTCCTATGTATAAAAGGGATTTGGTTTCTTTTGTTTTCCATTGTTGAATAAATTAATAAATAAATAAAAGTTGTCTATTGAGAGATGTAACCGTCTGCAACTTCGTATTATTATTCCACTGAAGAAAGTCCGGGTCAGGGCCAAAACGTTTGTGGACAAATAAATGAACATTTAAATCTAAACTAATTTTGTAGTGACACGAAAGATTAATTTTGCTTATTTTTATTGCACTATAAAATTTGTGCACAGGCTCTTATTGGTCCTTTCCCTTTTTATTTGATTGGATATCATACAGAGAAAAATTAATCTTAAATTAGATATTCTCATGTATAAGCCAGAAGATTACAATCTTCTTAAAAGATCTAATCCTGATCTGATTGAATTTGTATCGATGCAAGTATTATTAGCATTCAATTCAAGACTAAAAGTCTTCTAAGCATATTATAATATTATTGCTTGTACATGAGAAGATCTGTTATTAATTTAAGACTATTTTTATCTGTGCAATCAAGCCGCTCAAATACTTTCTTATCGTCTTAATATTACGATTTCGTGCAAGCACGTTTAGGAATCCGCCGAAAGCAATATGCGTCTTTCATTTGGAGCGTACAAATACCTAAATGTAGAGATAAAAATAGAGATTAGCAATTTGAATTACTACGTCTGCACTTAACGCATCGCAATCCGATTCAGATTAGGTCTTCGCGGTGCGTATTACACTGGATACGCGCGTAGATTACTTCACTCTCGGCTAATTCCGGACCGTTAAGGATCTTGAAGCGCGCGAAACGCATTCTTACTTGGTTAAGGTCTCGAGAGAGGACGTGTATATCGTGCCGCCGACGTCGATGTGGACCGGTGCCGTGTACCTCGAAGCGGCCGCTACGCACGGAATACCGGTCATCTTCTGGTTGTAAGCCGGGGCCGCCGGCGTCGGTGGTGTTGGCGACGAGGAATTTGACATCGTAGGCGAAGTGGCCGGCGAACTGCTTGGCGACAGCAATCTGTGGATCATCGTTTCGATGTTAGTTCGACTCAACGTCATATTCGAAGTATCGCTCGGCACGCCTCGACGAAGTAGAGATTCAAACTGAAATTCGAAAAGCCGAACGATGCGCCGGCAACTTCAAACCGCCGCCGGCCGCTATTTTGCATTTCGAGGCGCGTTCGTATATAGAAATCAAATTAGTATCAATTCAAGATTCTCATATTTTAGACAAATAATTTATATAAAAATAAGAATACATAATCTTATGAAGATGAAACTTTCTCTTATATGAAGAAATTTTCGATATAGTTCCGCTAAAAATGTATTCCCGTTATATTCAAGAATAATTTTCATGAATTGAGAGACAAAAATATTAAGTACAAAAAACGATTGTTTCAAACTAAGAATTCTATCAGTTTGAAGATATTGTTCTTTCTATCCAATATTTTTTCCTCTCAATTCATAACAATTATTCTTGAATAACAAGAATACATTTTTAGCGGAGCTATATGGAATTTTTCCACGTAAGAATGCAAATTTTATTTTTATATAAGATTATGCATTTTTTATTATATATGAGATTATAAGTCTTTAATTGATATTAATTTTTTTCCGTGAAGCAGCGAGTGCAAAATGACGTGACCGACTGGCCATTAATTAAACATGGAATTGCGATTAGCTGTATCATTCCGATTGATTCGTGTTCATGTAACGAGTGAACGACAAGGAGTGTCGAATAGACGAACAATGAGCAAGTCGGTGCAGCTATAATGCAGTACGAACGGATGTCCGGAGCGACGCAACAGCCAGCGAAAAGACAAAACCAATGACAGTGGCGGCTAATTAATCGATGAGTGATTCGATTACCGATCGCAGCTTACTGTCGTCTATTCATACCGATTTCCGTTCCGTTTACTGTTTCGTTTCCACCTTTTTCTGAGAGATTTCAAGTATGTATATAAACTCGTTTTAGCCAAACTAGATTGTTCTTTTTGCTTCTGGAGCGAAACAAATAACTTAGCGTTGAAAGAAAAAAAAAACGAAATTCCAGGACTAGTCATCTAGAACGAACAGGCTTTATATTGTTACGTGTAGACAAGTAAATTAAATAATGTCGATACAAGATAAATTTTTGGACTCACTATGGGATATGTATAGCCTAGCTGGACCCAAAAGGTTAACAATGACATCTCGCGATGTTTTACTAATAGAAGTGCATATAATTATACAAGCTACGTTTTTAAACTACACTTTTTGTATCTTCGCCTTTTTCCTTCTCTTTTCTTCTTAGTTGTCTTATATAAATTTTCTAACCGTAGGACATGTCAAGTTCAATGGATTCGAAAGGATTTAATAAATAACGATCTCGCGATGTTTTACTAATAAAAGTGCATATAATATAATTATACAAGCGACGTTTTTAAACTACACGTTCTATATTTTCCTGCGAATCGTTTCTTTTCTTTTCCCCTCCTCTTCGTTGCCTCAAATAAATCTTTGAACTCGCTGTAAGGTATGTACAACCCACCGAGATCGGAAGGATCAATAAGGACCTCGACATATTAATAAAAATATGTATAATTACGTAGGTCACGTTTTTAAATTACACTTTCTATATTTTATCGCGTTTCTTCGTCTCTTTTCCTCTCTCTTCCTCTTCGTTATTCCAAATAGATAGTTACTTCATGCTAAGTACAGAAAGTCTAGTAGTTAAGGGGAACGAACGTTACGCGTGACGTCACACATACGAACTCCGCGGCGGCAAGTTCGCGTCGTTAGGTAAACTGCCATTTCCGTCGAGTCTCGCGGCGCGGTCGTAAACATTGCGGTGTGAACTGCCGTCCGATCGTCGTGTGTATCGTTGTTGATTGTCGCATAGAATCGCCATCAAGCGTGTTTCTTCGGTCTATTCATGCCTGCATTATAAGTGTACGACAAGCGACTGTGAAACAGGTGAGCGATGATCGAACAAGTGCAACGACAAGTCGACATCCGAAGCGGCGCAGCGGCCGGCGGAAAGACAAGGAGAAAGCAAAGAGAGATGTCGATGTCAAATTACTCGGTGGATGTTTCAATTACCAGTCGCTATTTTCCGCCACCTGCTCGATCCCCGCTACCGTAATAACGATCCCGCATAAATGACTCAAGATATTTGCAGTTACACGTTCTCTTAATATCTCCGCTATTAGGTGGGGAATTTTAGTGATTACTTATGGAATCATTTGTTTAGCGGCCCGCCGCTACGCAGTGGCGCTAATACGCTAATAGCCGGCATTTGTTATAACATATTTTTACTTTCAAGCATTTCGAAACGTTTTCAAGATACGTTTTGATATTTGACTGTACATATTTACATCTTTTTAAATTTGGACGTACTACTATACGAATATACATATGTACATTTGAATGTTTTGTTCGTTATTTAACATTTTATTCCGCTCTACATTTCGAGTTATACAAAGTGAAACAATAGCACGGCATTTTGACCATGTGGTACTTCTACTGAAATAGATTTAACACGGCCTATTTTTTGAGGTTTTCATATCAAAGTAATTATTCAATAAGTCAATATTCAAGTTAAGTTGTCTATTCGTTTTTGTAGAAATCGTTCTTCTGACGATTTGATCTACAATCTATCTACTGACAAGTAAGTCAATATCGATATTAAAAATTCACCATCACATTCATTATTCCTTCTAAGAGAGAGTTAAACACTTTGTTTACTAAAAATGCATTTTTACATATATTTATAATAACGTCCACATTTTTATAACGTCCTACGTAATAAATATTTCATAACTTTGAGTCCAGAATTGATTGAACAGCACTTTGACGAATGTAGTCGTTAAGTTTACAATTTAAAATATTGATTATCAACAAAATTACTGTACAAAATGTAAATGGGGAGCTATAGTACCATCTCTCTTTCTCTCTCTCTCTCTCTCTTATCCTTTACGATCTTTATTTTCCCCCTCTGCTTTAATAAATAGATAATTATTTCGTACTAAGTACAGAAAGTGTAGCACTTAAGAGGATTAGACCGTGCGCGTGACGTCGGACGAAAAGTACGCGGCGGCAACTTCGCGTTGTTAGTTGAACCGCCATTTCCGTTAAGTCTCGCGACACGTCGCGAAGAATGCGGTGCGAACTGTTGTCCGATCGTCGTGTATGTCGTCGGTTGCTGCGCGGGATCGCGATCGAACGCGTGCTTCCGACTGGCTCGCATTCGCGCCTCACGTGAATAATGAACGAACGTGCTGTGATGGACGATAAGTGAGTGAACGTAACGACAAACGGGTGTTCGGAACGGAGCAGCGATGAGAGGGCATCGGACGGTGCATCGATTCGTGAGTAATCAACGATCAATTTCAGCTTCTTCCTACCACTTGTTCGTCCCGAATTCCCACCTTCCGATCACTGATTTTGCCCACCGAAATACAGAAACGCTGTAATCGAGAATATGTAAGTGTCACGTCGAGTGTGCGAGCACCTTAAATCACGCTTATATGTAAAGCTTCGTTCAGTCTCGACTCTTTAGTCTGTCGCCGGGGACGCGAGATAAGGCGATCGTCGCGTCTTCGTCAGATTTCTTCGTCGCACCCCTTCTCGCTTCTCCAATCACGATTTTCTCCTCGTTTAACTGTGCTTTTAGTATATTCTCAATATAATTCGAGATTACCCCTCCCCCCTCGCTGCCATCAGATCGCGAATAAATGCTCGTTCCGTTGAGAGTGCCGCAAGTGCTGAAAGTGCAACACCACGCCGCGAGAGAGAATAACGGTCTGTTTTCTATTGCTGCACTGGCTGCACTAATTTGCACTGGTTCTCTTTTCTTCTCTTCCTTGAGATTTGATGAGAAGGAGAGGAAAAGAGAGCTGTCAGTGCAGTAATAGAGTGCAGTCAGTGCAGCAATAAAAAACAGATCATCTCTTTAGATCATCTCGACATGTAGACTCGTATTCTGAACTGTTTTTTTATCGATAAAGGTGCCTTAAATGTGGTTTCTTAGCCAATCAGATGGCTTTTAAACTATTTTATCAATAAAAGAAAGTTTGGACCCCAATATATCCGTGTTGCATCCACGTCGAACCACGCGTGAGGGAGTCGATTCCACATCAATTCCACGTCGATTCCGTGTCGATTTCACGAATGTTCTCACGGGGGAATACGGGCTACTAGACGGAGCATAGTATAGAAATCATGTTGACAGATGTAGAAAGAGGAAAGAAGATACGTAGATAGTAGCGACTTATGCAAATCGGAGCCACGAGGTACTTAAAAATTGTGTATATTTCTTTTGCATAATTGCAAAATTGCAAATTGCATAAAGTAGAAGATATATTTAACAATTATTTATTACGTATATATAATTTCAGTTTTACATGCGACATTTATACGCAACGTTACACATTTATAGATTGCAACACGTTAAGAATGTTTCTAATTTGTAAAAATACGGTGTTGTTCCCCTTCTCGTTAAAAGAGGCCATAGACGCAGAAGTTTGCCGTCTCGAAAGATGCTCATACACGTAAAAGCTTGAACTTTTTATTTCAGCGAAACAATATTTAGCACATAATGAAATAAACATTGTTTTAACTGAAAATCAAGCATTATCTTTTACATAATATTGCTTTTTTCTATTAAACAATATGGTTTTCTCCAATGAAACATTTTCATTCAAGCAAAATTATACTTGAATTAAATTGTTGTTTATATTAAACAAATTGAAGTCAAATGAACACGTATGCTACATCCAAAGATACCCTTTTTTTGTGTACGCTCTCATTGTTCTAATTATGTCAGAATATCTAGCGAGATTTCACATTGAGGTTATGTGTACGTGTAATGCGTCGAGTGTACGAAAAATTTCAATTAGTCGGCAACAGCCTTGTCCTCCTGTACCACGCACAGCCTAGATTTGTCGTATAAGCCTTTCTCAAATGAACTAGACTAGATCACGGGATAACTTGTAAATTTATTTACTGGAACTCTTGGATTAATTTACCTCATTTTAATTTGAGCGCTAGGGAACATATTGCGTTGCGCCGTCAGCTCCGCCTTCGCCTCCTTCCCGTCGGCCTCACATTTTCGTCTGCAATTAAAAACACGAGAACGTTATTCGTAAACAGCGTCTATTAAATGAGGGTGAATATGACGATAGGTTAAATTCGAAACACACACGGAAGTAACTTGAAGATAAAGCTTCCTGTGTGTGACTACATTTGCAGTGATCAGCATAAAGTGAGCTCTTCTGTATTAATTTCTCTGTTCCGTATATAAAATTAATTATCAATGCGGTTCGCTAATTATGTGCCATAGAGTACCAGCACCAAATTAACAATATATCGATCTACGATAAAATTGATTTACCCATTCCATCTATTTGTATAGGGTGTCTCATTTCTACCGCATTGTTTTGTAATAGCAAATTTTCCGGACGTATGGAGACAATTTTTCCTCGGCGAAAATGCCGAGGGGGAGTAATCGTTTTTTGCAAATGTTTAATTTTTAACATTCTGTACCTTCGCGATTAAATCTCAAATTAAAATTTTATTAAAACAAATTCCATTTGTGTGTGCGATATTAGGTAAAAAATGTAATTTTCACGCACGTTTACCTAAAGACTAGTTCTTTTCATTCGCTTACAATTCGAAAATTATTAATGTCTTTACATTTAAATAGAATTGGACTTTAAATTGGCCAACAAATTTGTCATTACAGAACAATGCGGTAGAAATTAAAAACTTAATATACGTGCATATTCTAGTTTCATTGTCCTCACATTCTAAAATTGTCCAAAATATTCACACGTATACACACACACACACACACACACACACACACACACGTCGAGACAAACGAGACTTTTTTACCCAAAGTTATCGCCAAGTCAAATCCGAAAACTACATTTTTAATTTGCGTTTAGTGCCTACCCGTTTTATCCGCAAAACGCAGGTGTCGATTTAGCGTATCGATCCTCACGCGACGGGTCGCGGGCGACGATAACACTAGTTTAACGAGCCATTGTTTTTGGCCAAACATTGGCAATGCTGAATCGACTGAGGGCTTGGAACATTAACGCGAAATTCTCGTATGTATTAATAAGGCAATTAGCGGCGAAACAATATTTGGCGGGCGCCGGCCAGCCGAACGACCGACCGACCGACCGTCCAAGGGGATTCTTTTAAACGTGTTCCCACAGTGGAAATGGAGGGCCGGTTTGGTGCGCGGGTTAGAGCTTCCACCCCCTCGAATTTTCATACCGCGCGCTCGTGAAAGGCCGGGCTCATTATTGGCTATTGTCCCGAGGCATGCTTTTCATAGCCTCCGTAATGCGCGGTTTTTAGACCCGGTCGAGAAGATTAATTTCGTCCGCTTAAAGAAGCACTTGTCCCGGCCTGACGAAATAATGATGATTAGTACGAAGACCCAAAGACAACTTGAAATCTTTTTAAAACCTTATTATATCTTACTATACATCTTAATAAATCTCGTTAAATCTGATTAAAAATTGCTTGATAATGGAATCGCATTACGGTCAAGATATCTCAATACTTTCTCTTACTATAAAAAAATATTGTCACGCTAATATGATCAGCCATACAAATACAGGAAACTCATCGATAGAAAACCCCATGTAGAAAGTTTCCTAGGATCTAATTGGGATTTAATATGGTTTCTTAGGAAAAGTATGAATTTTAATTGGAATATTTATGAAGATTCAAATAAAAAGTGCAATATTTTTCAAAGGCGCGACTTTAAGTGGAAAATCCGAACGGATCTAATTTGTTCGCTACGATGTTTTTTCAAAGGTTTTTCTGATTTTCAAATTTATTCTATAAACATTTATTTTATTCTATACAACGAAAAATGAGAAAGAACCTTATAAAATGGAAAACGAAATTGGAAAAAATTATGTTTTAGGCTTGAAAAAACTTCAGCCGCCTGAGAAAACATTTCTGATATATTTATTATATTAATATAAATAATTGATAATTATTACTATTTATGATTTAAAATCAATTAGTATTTGACAATTTGTTTTATATAAGTTGATTTTATATTTCATAACTTTATATTTCATCATATCTCTCAGTTAAAGAGAAACGATAAATTTATCATCGATCGTATGCAATGTGTTACGTTTAACGAATCGTACGACCAAAATAGGTCGATAACCCAATTTGATATAAATCTGCATTCTGAGAGGAATCTATGCTGGAAATGTCGACTAATATATACAGTAAAAAGTGCTAGAATCAAGTGAACGCAAATTCGCAATTTATTTAATTACACACATTTTATATTTCAACGTCGATTAGCATGTTAAGGATATTAATTTTGTGCTAATTTTTGACATAATATTTGTCTCATTTTTCAACATATTCATCTTATATTAATAATAAATAAATTGCATTAATATAACATGAAAATGTGCATGGACTACCTGACATGTGAAATGTGTCAAATTTAACTGGGACATGTGAAATGTGTCAAATTTAACACAAAATTCTTTGCTGTGTGTATAGTATTAGCAACTCGTATCCGATGAAATTCCCGAAACAATCGAGAAATCGCGAAGCTCCGAGCTCCGTCTTGAGGGCCGCTGCTTATCAATCGACAATCGCGAGGCTCGCTAAGACGGAAAAGCGGCTCGCATTTCGGCTCGCGGCAACAATCGCTTTCCACCGTCCACGGCGAGGAATCCGCGATGCTCCGAGGACACACTGGTGCACCGGGACATGGGAGGAAAGGGGTACCGGTTTTCTCCTCCACGTATCTACCTACCTACCAACCTACCTACCACCCTCGCCCACATCAGTCCGCGCGCATCGCCGCGGGAGACGCCGCGAATTGCGATGCAGCGCCTTTTCTCGGCCGCTCAGCGCGAGAGGTCGTCGGGATGCTTCTCTCCTCCACCTTCGGCGGTGGAGAGAACGTCGACGGGGCTGAGGGGGAGGAGGTAGGGAGCGGGCAAGCGGTCGTCGCGCAAGTCGGACATCGGGTTAAGGAGCAGAGTAAGAGATGGTGCGCGTCATGCCCGGCGGAGGCGGACGAGAAGCAACAACGGCCATCACGGCGGTTGCGCCGCCGCCGGCTGAATCGGCAGATTTATGTGGGGCTGTGCGTTTACGAGTACGGGCACGCATACTTGCATACATAATTAACTCTCGCGCGGTCACCGTTGCGATCTTTAACGTCGATGAGATCGATCATCGTCGCGCTCGCGGAAACGCGTGTCACCGCCGCCGTTCGATGGCCGGCGCGCGCTCGCGGCGCTCGGGAGAAATTAATGGGTCTCGACGGCGCTTCGATTATATTGTTCGTGCGCCGTGAAAGCGGCGCGCTCGAATTGAGACACGGGCCGAGGTGAAAAATCATCTCGACCGGCCGTCGAATCGCCCGGGAAATGTCATTTTCGCGATTATCCGGTCGAGCGAGCCCAACGCGGAGATGGAAAGGTAGGAATTGTCAGAGATGGAATTGTCAGAGACGGCGGATTTAGCTGAGTTTACGCGTAAACGTTGCATTATGACAATGATAATCTTTGTTAACCGGAAGCATCTTTTAGTGTACATAATTATGCGAAAGAAAAGTGCTAGATTCAAGTAAGTAATTACTCCAATACTCCTTAGCAAATTTTTACTTTGATCGAGTAAATTCTATCCAAGTAAAGTATTCACTTGATCCAAATAAAATTTACTTGATCCAAATAAAAATTTGCTAAGGCGTATTGGAGTAATTACTTATCTGAATCTAGCACTTTTTTTTTGTATAAGTAAAAATATCATAGATGGGCAGACAGTGAAAGAAAGTGAAATCTCATGCAGTATAGAGTGTTTAAATGTTGTTAAATTGCTGTGAAAAAGGTCTACGGAATCTGAAAATAACTTAACAGTTACACATAATCTATCCTTATGGGAATTTAAACCTTATAGAGAATTCAGTGATGTTCAATGCAGTGTTTTGGCAGAATATTTAGTTTAACAATTCGAATATCATTGGTTCGTACATAGTAAAAAATTTTGTGTTAAGAACGGTCCATTGAAATTTTTGTGCTACTTTAACAAAGCGAACATGTGAAAAAGTAAATGTATTAAAAGACGAATATGTTAATTTAACATATACATTTGTATACTTTTTAACATATACCTTGTGTTAAAGTAACACAAAAATTACAGCGGACCGTTTTCAACACAACACTTCTCACTATATATGACATTTTTATATTTATCACACGGAGTGATTGCAATATAAAAGAAATGTGAAAAAAAATATCGGGATACCCAAAACAATATGACATATTTCATATGATATTAATATAACACAAAAAACTTGCATATCATCGTATGATGTAAATGTAACGATTAATTCAATATTTATATATCGAATATATTTGTGCCCCGCGAATGTAATAAAAACACTGCGGAGTATCCATCGTCGATTGTCTCACGTCGCGAATAATCGCGAGAGTCTATCTGGGTTACTTCCTTCCGCGGGCAGAGTCGCGTCGATCTCCCCCCGTGCTCTTCTACCTCTTTTTGGCATCGGTGTTCGATCAGTAATACGCGAATCAGTTTCGCGCGGCAGACGTCGAGTTTATTTTCGCTCGCCTGACATTTCCGTCGCGAGGGCGGCAGAGGACGGGGCTTCGATTTGAGCCGCGCGCGGAGAACAACGGGGTTATCGGGCGTGTGTGCTCATAATAACGAGCGCTGAAATGACCGGCGGAGAGCGTCAGGTCGGTGGGGGGGG